AAAAACAGAAAAAGTAATTCTGAAACCAGAAAATGTATAGACCACAGTGTGGTGATACATATATATGTGTAGACACACACACACACACACACACACACACACACACACACACACTCTTTTAATACTTACCCAGGGCATTTGGAAAAATATCTGTGTCTTCTGTCTGTTGCTCTATTAGGATCAAAGCTCGTCAGGGATTTATTGACTTTCCTATTCCCCCAATAAACAAGGTTTCTCTTATTTTCCCCAAGCGATTCAGGCCTTGCTCTTCAGAAGTCAATCTCAGAATATTTTCATATTAAATTTGTCAATGACAGTTGGAGAGGAGGAGTACTGATGTTTGCTGAAATGGAAAAACAAACAAACAAAGCCAAATAAAATTCAGTTGATTGCTTCAGCAAGATTTCAGAAGTCTGGAAGTTAAAATTGACAGATGTACATTTTTTCCTTTTAAAGCTCATTTTGGCTTTCAGCCTGCTGTACTTTAAATAAAAGTATAGATGAAGAGTACTTTGCAGTAACAGAGCTAATGATTAAATAGATTTGTTGAGTTTTTTAACTGAGTTATTTTCTAGAAAGTTCTGTGAATTTTCCAAGGCTACCGTTTATTTAGGCTAGCAATAATCCGTCTTGCACATAATTCTTACCCATTTTCTTGAAACCAAAGTAGTGGCCTTGGGAGTCTGAAGAGGTCTTACTTGCTAGTCTTTAGGAGCTGGATTTTTCTCTTTCCCCAAGGGCAAAACAGATTTCCCCATAGAAAATCCAAAGATACTTTTGTGTTCTCTGTCTCAGGGGAAACTCTAAGAGAAGCAGGTTTGTTGCTGCTCTAAATTCATAACACAGAGAACGGTATTTCAAATTCTCAGAGAGGAGTTTGAGAAGTTAGGTTGAAAATAACTTACAGGTGTTAAGCAAGTATTTAAAAGCTTAAAAGAGGTTAAAGTAGCCTGTGGCTAAAGTTTCTAACATGGCAAAAGTGCGCCAGGGTTATTGAACAATTGACAGAAGAAAAACATCTAATGTTTATTCTCACATATTCCTCACAAGGAAATACTTGTTTTCCTGCACTACAGATCTCTTCTGTGCGGAGTTTTAATTATCCCTTGCCCTAAGTGCCCCTGCTGCTCATGAAATCTGTGACCAAGTCCACTTTTCTAATCCATCTTAATATTGGCACTTAACCAAACTAACATTTTGTTTGCTTTCCTAAACAAAACAAGGCTCTCCTTAACTCGAAGTAGAGTATCGTGTTGACTAAATGAAATGATGTGTGTGTGTGTGTGTGTGTGTGTGTGTGTGTGTGTGTGATCCACTACAGAGCACAATGGGGAGACATAAGACTTGAATCAAACAATGCCACTGCCCCACAGGGCTCAAGGTCTAGAGGGGAGGGAGGTGCTCTTTCCACCTAACACCAGAAACGTCAGGGTGGGTATTGCCGAGCGGGAGTCAGAGGGTCCAGAGGCGTCAATGAGATTGGTAGGTGGGAAGCTATGTAGAAGTAATAAGTATCAGTCCTGAGAGGACAGGCTTGAGAGTGGCTGAGGAAAGTGTGTAGTTGAACGGCTGCCTCCACTTAGCCGAATCCCACAGATCCCAACCCTGGCTGCATTAGAGTTGACTGGGGGGCTTTAAAAATACAGATCAGTGGGGTGCCTGGGTGCTTCAGTCGGTTGAGACTCTTGATTTCAGCTCAGGTCACGATCCCAGGGTCATGGGATCGAGCTTTGTGTCGGGCTCTGCACTGAGCGTGGAGCCTGCTTAAGATTCTCTCTCTCCCCTATTCTCTCTCAAATAAAATCTGTGTGTAAAATTTGGGGGGAAGTTTATCCGTATCTACAATTTACTGTAAAATGGATCCCCTAAAAAAGGTGCCTTAGTGGATAAAGGGATGGAGGGGTACTGGGGGAAAACTGGTTCCTATTTCTGGAAATTCCAGGATTAATTGGTCTGGTTGGGGTGCAGCCATCAAGGTATTTTTTTTTTTTTTGGCACCAGTATTTTTAAAAAGCCTTGTGGGTGCCACTCACATGCAGTCCAAGCTGAGAAATTCTGAACTGGAAGAACAGAGAACACAAGTGGGTAAAAAGTACTGAGTAGCGCATGTGGACTCGGTAGAAGAATCAGGTTTCCTTTAAAACAAGCTAGGGGCACTGGAGTGGCTCCGTCGGTTAAGCATCCGACTTCGGCTCAGGTCATGATCTCACGGTTTGTGGGTTTGAGCCCCGTGTTGGGCTCTGTGCTGACAGCTCAGAGCCTGGAGCCTGCTTCAGATTCTGTGTCTCCCCCTCTCTCTGTCCCTCCCCTGCTCACACTCTGTCTTTCTCTGTCTCTCACAGATGAATAAACATTAAAAAAAAGAGAGATAAAACAAATCAGCTAAAACAGAGTAGAATTGGTGAATTAGTTGTCTGTGACTGCTAAAACAAATGACTACAAACTTAGTGGTCATTTATTACCCAACAGTTCTGTAGATGAGAAGTCCAACGTGGATCTCACTGGGCTACAATGAGGGTGTCAGCAGGGCTACATTCCTTCCTGGAGGCTCCAAGAGAGAAGCTAATTCCTTGCCTTTTCCAGTGCTAGAGTCTGTCAGTGGCCCCCTTCCTCTTTCCTTGGAAGCAGCAACTTTGTTTCTCTCTGAGAGTTCCCAAAAGTCTCAGCCCAAACTTCTCTAATTACATGTCCCTCTGAATCCTCTTCACTTTTTTAAAGACCCTTGTGAAGGGCGCCTGGGTGGCTCAGTCGGTTGAGCGTCCGACTTCGGCTCAGGTCATGATCTCGTGGTTCATGGGTTCGAGCCCCACGTTGTGCTCTGTGCTGACAACTCAGAGCCTGGAGCCTGCTTCGGATTCTGCGTCTCCCTCTCTTTCTCTGCCCCTCACTCACACATGCTCTCTCTCTCTCTCACACTCAAAAATAAACATTAAAAACAGAAAGAATTAAAAAAAAAATACTCTTGGGACTGTGTTGGGCCCACCTGGATAATCCAGGTTCATCACCCTGATGATTAACAACCAGCTGATTAACCAACAGGCCAGCTGATTAACAACCTTAATTCCCCTTTTCTGTGTAACATAACATATTCCTAGGCTTTGGGGATTAGAACACAGTCATCTTTGGGGGCCATTTTTCTGCCTCCCATAGAAAGATCCACAATTTCTCAAACAAGACACTTTTTATTTATTTTATTTTATTTTTTTTTAAATGTTTATTTTTTATTGGGAGACAGAGACAGAGCATGAACATGGGAGGGGCAGAGAGAGGAGGAAACACAGAATCTGAAGTAAGCTCCAGGCTCTGAGCTGTCAGCACAGAGCCCGACGCGGGGCTCGAACCCACAAACCGCGAGACCATGACCTGAGCTGAAGTCGGACGCTCAACCGACTGAGCCACCCGGGCGCCCCAAGACACTTCTTAAAACACAAACCAAAAAGGAAAAGACAGGTAAACCCAACTGCATTAAAATTCAGAACCTTATTCATTAAAAAGCACTATTAAAGAGAATAAAAACATAAACCATAAACTGAAAAAAGGCTAATGGCAACACAATATTCAAAACCTACAAAATACTACCATAAATCAATAAGAAAAAACATCCAAAGGAAAACGGGCAAAGGAATTGTATAGGCATGTCACCAAAGAGGACATACCTAAGGCCCATAAACATAGGAAAAGACATTCATCTGCATTAATATGACACAAAGAACAGCTTTTAAAAATACCATTTGGCAGGGGCGCCTGGGTGGCGCAGTCGGTTAAGCGTCCGACTTCAGCCAGGTCACGATCTCGCGGTCCGGGAGTTCGAGCCCTGCGTCAGGCTCTGGGCTGATGGCTCAGAGCCTGGAGCCTGTTTCCGATTCTGTGTCTCCCTCTCTCTCTGCCCCTCCCCCGTTCATGCTCTGTCTCTCTCTGTCCCAAAAATAAATAAACGTTGAAAAAAAAAATAAAAAAAAAAATACCATTTGGCAAAAATGTAAGAGTTGGACAATCCAGGTATTGACAAAGCTGTAGCACCAGGGACGCCACTCCTATGGAGCACTGGTAAACTCCCACGTGTGCACAACAGGAAACAGATTGCTATGTAGAGTGTTTGTGCATCATAGAAAAACACTAAAAATAACCCAAAACATCCATCAACAGTAGAATGAATAAATAAGTCCTGCTGTGCTCGTTCAAGGAAAATAATGCATTACTATTAGACACAGATAAATCCCAAAGACATAAAACTGAATGAAAGAAGAATGAAAGAAGCAAATCTCAAAAGATTATCTACATATGGATACATTTAAATTGTGCATATATGCATATTTAACTTGTACATACATGTTTGCATATATTCTTTTGTATTTTGCTATATATCACAGTGTTTAAAATGTTTTCTAAAAAGCAGACTTAGAAAAGGCCATTCTCTAAAAATTGAATGGTTTTGGGCACCTGGGTGGCTCAGTTGGTTAAGCGGCCGACGCTTGATTTCAGCTCAGGTCATGATCTCACGGTTCGTGAGATCAAGCCCCGAGTCGGACTCTGTGCTGACCGTGCAGAGCCTACTTGGGATTCTGTCTCTCTCCCTCTCTGTTTGCCCCTCCCTCATTCATGCTTTCTCTCTGTCTCTCTCTCAAAATAAATAAACATAAAAAAACATTGTAGAGCAGTTTATAGATTACTAAATTCTTTCACATAGTCTTACTTAGTTCTCACAAGAACCCTACAAGATCTGTATTATGATCTCGATTTATGAAAGATCAAATTAAAGCTGGAAAAGGTTGGGGCGCCTGGGTGGCACAGTCGGTTAAGCGTCCGACTTCAGCCAGGTCACGATCTCGCGGTCCATGAGTTCGAGCCCCGTGTCAGGCTCTGGGCTGATGGCTCAGAGCCTGGAGCCTGTTTCCGATTCTGTGTCTCCCTCTCTCTCTGCCCCTCCCCCATTCATGCTCTGTCTCTCTCTGTCCCAAAAATAAATAAACGTTGGAAAAAAAAAATTAAAAAAAAAAATAATAAAGCTGGAAAAGGTTAAATGACTCTGTCCAAATTAATGCTGGGCCAACTGTGAAGCCCAAGGATATGGCTACAAATTTTACAGAAAAAATCAAAATGTAAGTACATGCATAAAAGACTATTTGTTGCTAACAAAACAAAGTGTGTCGATGGTTCCCACCTTACAGAGCTCCATAGTGCTCCCATATTTCTGTGAAGTACTTGCTCCATCCTTTCTTTGTCACCCAGGGTCCCCATGGGACCACCATTCACCTCCATAGTTATCATAGATTTCCGTATTAACTACGTGACGATATTGTGGCAAATGGCAGTAAAATCTCTTTAGGAAGGGTCCAGCTTTTCCTCACGTACAACATGCTGCCATTTGGTCTCAGGGCAGGGCTGCTATCACCTTATACCCTGACTGTCCCCATCACAGAGGGTAGCCTCTGCTCCTGTTCAGTCCAACCCTTCTGCTCCGTGTCTGCAGAAGCAGTGGCATGTGTGACTAGGGGAAGAGGAAGAGAAAAGGTCAGGTTCCTTCTGTAGTTTGTAGGACATCTCAAGGATTCAAAAACATGAATCCATAGTGATGAATGCAGAAAAACGTGCTGGGGTTTCTGAATACACAGCAGAGGAGTGGAGAAAGCACAGGTTGAACTAATATTAAAATACTTGCCCTTCACATGTGAAAGTCAACATTCTCCGCTCCTTTGGATTTCAAAATAGCATGGAAGGAAGTTGATAGAAGCTGTTCGCATACCACACAAGTTAGGCAAGAGAATGTTAAATCCAAAGCCACTAATGATAATCCATATTTGAGAGTAGACTCTCTCAGTTGTGAGGCTACTCTGGGGTTTGGCATTCATAAGTATATGACCATGAGTTAAGTAATCAGACTCTGCAGAGTCTGATTCGTAAGTCTAAAAGCTGACTGGGCTGAACTCTGAACTGGTGTGTCTTTTCTCTTTGTGTGCTAAATGATTACATCAGTTAGAATCCTTTGAGCCACCAGATGAAAACTCAGCTAGAATTGTGTGAGACAATAAGGAAAATGTATTACTCTACACACCAAAAGGTAAGAAAGTTGGCTAGTTCAGTGGCTTGAAGACCCAGAGTTTTTCTTCATTCTGCTCTGCTATCTTCAACTTGTCTGCTTGTCCCCTCTTGGTTATAAAATGGCTGCAGCAGCTCCTGGCATCATGTCTTCATCCAACATTCAAACCAGAATATCCAAAGGCTGGAAGAGACCACATTCCAGGCTAGTGTCTGTTTATAAGAAGGAGATAAACTTTCTCAGAAGCCCCTGCAGACTTTTCTTCATGTCACACTGGCTACAATCGTGTCAAGTGCTCATTCCTAAGCCAGTCACGGGCAAAAATCATGAAATTACCATGGCTGGCTAGGACTGATCAAGACTCATGCCTGGGTTAGGGCGGGCCTCCTCTTCCTAAAACTCAGCATCTCTTGATAACCTGAACAAAAGTAAGGTTTTCTTAGCAAGGAAGAATTGAGTGGGGAGGGCAACCAACCGTGTCTGCTATGACGAGAATATTGTCCTATGTCACTGGTTCTCCTTATAGGCTCTGCCAACATAAACGACCGAAGCATGCTGGGGAAGCGTGACAGTGAAATGGCTGTCATTGTACAGGACACAGAGACAGTCCCTTCAGTAATGGATGGGGAAGAATACCAAGCTGGCCGGTTCGCCCAAGGACTTCGGCTGCAGAGCTTCAGGTGGGCCGTCCAAAGCTGTGTCTTTCTTACATGGTTTCACTGTGGTGTTTGCTGAAACCCAGCCCCACCTCCTGCCCTTAGCAGTCATATCATCCCCCAGATTCTTTGTCTAAAACAGCATCTCCCAGAATATGAGATGTGAATCACCAGTAGTGTTAGAAATTACTTTATCTGGGGCATAAACATTCTCCATTTTAATCGTTTTTTTATTATTACCTTTTGAGAGATAGAAGATGAGTAGGGGAGGGGCAGAGGGAGGGAGAGAACACCCAGCGTGGAACCTGACACAGGGCTTGAACTCACGACCCTGGGATCATGACCTGAGCCAAACTCAAGAGTCAGACGCTCAACTGACTGAGCCACCCAGGTACTCCTGTTTTTATTATTTTTATGTGTAATTGAGACAAATAGCATTTTAAATTTATTCATTGATTTAGGACCAGGTTGGGTCAACCCATCTGTGTCTATTTAAGGTTTTTAAAGTAAGTCCATTTTTAAAAATTGTAATAGTCCCAATAATACGGGGATGTAAGAAAAATTATTAAAGGAGGGGGTCAGTGACTACTGATAGTGAAGTGTGGAAACTTCAGCTGCAGACATGAAAGATTCCTGATCTCCTCCAAGAAGATGTGAGTTTTAAACTAATCTGTGGTCAAGCTAAGAGAACACTGGGCTGGGAAGCAAGGGCCGTATGCCCCTAAAGGAGTCTTTTCGTTGGGTTAATGTTTCTGAGAACTTTCTGGTGCTGGGCCCTAACTAGTCTCACCCCAGCCCCTTTAGTCTAGGTGGTCTGAGCGATCCTTCTAGAGCCTAGCTCAGATCCCGTCACTCTGCTCATGGTCAATAGAAGATGCTGACCACTCTTCCATCCCAAGGCCTTTACAGTAAGCCCACGTTTCCATGATTCTAGAGCTGTATCTGCCGAGATGGGTTTTCACCGTGGCCTCCACAGCCAGGGGCAGCGAGTGTCCCTGATTAAGCTTTAAGCTATTTGGGGAAAGCGTACTATGCTTCACAGCACTGCTGTTTTAAGTTTTTCTGGCATGAGTGGTTGAGCTTGGAAACGGGTTCACTTGTAGATAGGCGCATAATGAGTCCTTCGCTCCCTGAAAATGCCACTCCCTTGGTACCTCGCCGTCCAGATTCTGGCTTTTAAGAAGCGAGATAAGCTTCAGTTCCAGAGAGGGGTCATTCTGCTCCTCTCTGCCCCAGGAGCTCAGCGAATCCATCCCTCAAAATCTGACTGTCAATACTACTTAACAGTTTTTATTGCTTTTGTTACTAATTGTTTTGCCAGTAAGATTTTTTTTCCCCAAACCATTGATATTTCAATTAGCTTCTAATGTTAATTTGTTTTGTTTCGTGCGGAAGAGATTAAAATTAGTACCCTGTTAATTAACCCATTGATTGCCTACTGCAGCATATATGAGGAAGCAAATATTTCTTCGTGTAAGCTAGAAACAAATGTCTTTTCAGTTCCATGGGAACTGAAGTATTCTCTTTAGAGTGGTGAGTTTCTTTATAACTTTCTAAAGGTATAATTAAAAAGGTGTAGGTGGTTTTGATTACAACGTATTTTTGTTGTAGAAAATTTGGCAAATACAGGTGAGCAATGAGAAAATTAAATTCATCGGGTCGCCTGGGTGGCTCAGTCCATTACGTGTTCGACTTTGGCTCAGGTCACGATCTCATGGTTTGTGAGTTCGGGCCTCACATTGGGCTGTCAGCACAGAGCCCGCGACGCATCCTCTGTCCCCTTCTCTCTCTGCCCCTCCCCCACTCGTGCTCACTCTCTCTCTCAAAAATAAATAAACAGTAAAAAAAAAAAATGTAAAGAAAAGAAAATTAAATTATCTGTAATCCCACTGCCCAGAGCTAGCAATTTTAACATCTGCTGTATATCATTCCACTTTGTTCTGTACATATATATTACTATTGTGTATTTCTTTTTTAAAACATAATTGGAATCTTACAGTCCTATGAAGTTCTTTATTATTTAAATAATGTTACACACACTTTTCTGTGTCATTAAGTATTCCTCTATAACATTTAACGATGCATTGTGTTACATCATATGACTGTGCTGTAATTCTTCTACATAATGAGACCTCGTTGATAGGCAGGTTTTTCACAGATATGAAAAAGTGGTATAGGGATGCCTGGCTGGCTCAGTTGTGGAGTCTGCGACCCTTGATCTCAGGACTGCGAGCTCAAGCCTCACACTGGGTGTAGAGATCACTTAAAAATAAAATCTTTAAAGTAAATAAATGAGGTGGGTATTTTCGTAGACAAAATCGGATTTACTTTCTTAATTGTTTCCTTAACTAGATCCTTACTGTGGAATTTCAGATCAAAGGAAGTGTGCTGCTTCCTTTGTCCTCTAACTTCTTGCTGTCATCATGAGTAATGCTTTAGAGGGCTCATTGCTCCTGTCTCTACCATCACTGGGTTCTATTATTTTATTTAATCTTTGCCAATTTGTTGGATTTCAAATGGAATTTCATTATTTTAGTTTGCATTTTTTGAGGGTTTTTAAAAAAAATGTTCATTAGCCATATTGTTCTTATAATTGTTCCACTGGAAATTACCTAGCCTGTTCGTGTCCTTTGCCCATTTTGTTGGAATGTTTCCCTTTCTTTGAATGATTTGTAAGTAATGTAAGTATATAAGAGGCTAATTCTTTTGTCACATTGGTTGCAAATCTGATCTGTCAGTTGCCTTCAAATCATATTGAGAGTATTTGTGGGAAACTTCAATTCTTACTAATTAAATCTAACAGGTTTTTTCCCCCTGCTTTTCTTGCATGCTTCGTATGGTTTCCCCAACCCAAGATCAAATACTATATGTTCTTCTAGTTCTTCTTTGATATTGCTTTTTACATTTAACCTCTGTAGCTTATTTTCATGTAAGAAATGAGGTAGCGACTCTTCACTTTTCCTCCCAACCTACCAGTTGATCCAGAACTAAATGATCTGCAGTATTCTCTGCCTCTCTGACATGCAGTGCCTCCTTATGACACATCACAAGGCTATAAATCCTCACTTTACCTGTAGTCTCTCCACTATATGATAATGTAGTTTGCTTACTTGTCCCAGTGTAACACCGCTTTAATTATAGCTGGGCACTTGAATACTGCTTCTTGCCACCCCACTTCCCAAATCAATATTCTTTGGCAGAATAATCTTGGCTGCTCTTAAACATTCACTCTTCAGCATGAACTTGAGAATACTTATTCACATTCTCTTCAAGTTTTTTGTTGTTGTTGAGGACACAATAGATTTATAGATTAATATAAAAAGAATGGACGTATTCATAGTGTTGAGTCATCCTGTTGAAGAACAATGCATAAGCTTCAGTTTTTTCAAATTCTTTTCGGATTTTTCTTTAATCAAGCTCTAAGGTTTTCATTATTGGGGTCATTGCTCTTCAGTAATCATTGGAGTTTTATTTTAACTTTTTAGTGCTGATCCTATGCATTTCGTGTTAAGTATATTCTTAGGTGCTTTTATTTTTCTGACAATTTTCAAAGCGTCTTAGAGAAGCAGTTGTCCTTGAACAATCATTTTCACGTTGTCCCAGTGGCAAACACAGATAATATAGTATAAAGCACCACAAAAAACCTTGATTGATTTTATTAGGAAATGTTCTCAAAGATAATATTGGGGCCTAGAGCACAGCCATTTTCTCACACACACACACACACACACACACACAAAATTGCAGCTTCCATCCATTTTCCATCTGGGTTATTTTTGAATAGAAAAAGAGAGACACATTTCAATGTGAAATCAATTCTAAATAGAGCCAAACATCAGGGTACTGCACTTAATGTCACAGCCATGTGCTGAACAGTTCATTAAGTCCTAGAAAATTATCCAACTTTACAGGTGTAACCATCACTCAACAGGAACCATTATCCACACAAGTAGAGCTCAGAATCATTTAAAGTGATAGACGTGAGGAATGGAAAGAACAGGAACTATTTTCTGCAGTTTTCTTCCTGTCCCACTGATGCATAAACAAACATTAAATAATTCCCATGATACACACCAGCATTAAATCAGACTAGATTTCTGTCAAACCTTAGTCCTCAAAAGAATATCCAGAAGACTTCATAGTGTTTTTACTGTGCATTGTAATATGAATCTCTTATAATTAAAAAACTGACAGGACAAATAATTTATTACTAAAAACAATCTGTTATAGGAGCCTGGGTGGCTCAGTTGGTTATGATTTCAGCTCAGATCATGATCTCAGGGTTGTGAGGTCAAGCCCCGTGTCAGGCTCTGTGCTGAGTATGGAGCCTACTTGAGATTCTCTCTCTCTCTCTCTCTCTCTCTCTCTCTCTCTCTCCCTCTCCCTCTCCCTCTCCCTCTCCCTCTCCCTCTCCCTCTCCCTCTCCCTCTCCCTCTCCCTTTCTTTCTCTCTCTCTCTCTCTGCCCTTCTCCCACTTGTATGCATCTGCACGTGCACTCTCTCTCAAAATAAAATAAAACAAAAAAAATCATTAAAAATGATCTATTGTAGACTTACTTAAATATGTATTCTACAAACAAGCTCTTAACTGATACCTTGGTGGACACATTGTGTCACCTCTTGTTTTCATTTAAAAGCAAAGTCACAGAGATATTCTTTTGGCCAAGTTTTCAGCCGGTTGTATCTGATCCCCATCAAAGGTATTGTTATAAGTGATACATTGTCATAACTTGCACTGGCTTTCAAATGTGGTGCAGTCGCATTTTGCTTTGGGTCTTAGGAACAGCCGGCATCTGTGGGCAAACATCACCCCTTAGATCCTTTTTTTCAAAAGTTATTCCTATGTAGTTTGAAGGAGACATTATTTGAAGTAGACATAAAATTTTGAGGTTGTAAAACCCTAAAAATCCTAGTGAGCCCATAGTGCCAAATCCATTTATTTTACAGAATTTTTATACAGTGGGAAAAGTGCAGACTGAAACTAAAAAGAGATGTCCTTTTATCCCTGTAAACCTGGCTGAGCTTTTTCAGAAGTTAATAAAGTTGGAGATGACTGGGGAACATATGCACAGTTACAGTGTATGTGCCAGAACAGCCTTTCTGGAAGTAAATTTTAATTCTAAAATTTCTCCTGGTGAAGTAATCATACAAATTCACAAAGGGTTCTACATGATGAATAAATTATGTTCATTGTAAAGGTGCTCCCAATAATGAAAAGTTGGAAACCATCCAAAAGGTCATAATAAAATAATCGGTTAAAGAAATTTCACATTATGGGATTTTGCAACCATTAAAAATGATGATATAGGGGTGCCTGGGTGGCTCAGTTGGTTAAGCATCTGACTGTTGACTTCAGCTCAGGTCATGATCTCCTGGTTCGTGAGCTCGAGCCCTGCATCAGGCTCTGTGCTGACAGCATGGAGCCTGCTTGGAATTCTGTTTCACTGGCTCCTGCCCCTCCCCAGCTTGCTCTCTGTCTCTCTCTCAAAATTAAAAAAAAATAAAATAAAATTTAAAAAAATGACGATGTAAATATACATATATTTAAATACAGAGAGGGTGACAATAGAATGACCTCCACAGTGTTGAATCCAACAGTCAATTCTCCTCTGAAGTTGACACAGTTCTCATGGTTCAGGGACATGACATCATGGCTTTTCTCCAGGCTCCCTGGATGCTCCTCCTCTTCCCCACCGTTGAGGCATACCAGGTCCTATACTCACTCCTTTGGTAAACTCAGTTAAGGTCCCACGGCTTTATGAACATAAATATGGGGACGATTCTCAAATTTCTATCTCCAGCCAGGCCCTGTCTCCCAAACTCCAGATTTGTTTCTCCAGCTGCCTACTTTGCATTACCACGTGAATGTTTAATGGGAGTCGCAACAGGTTCAAAATCCAATTCCTGGTCTTCTCCCACTAGCTGGCCCTACCAACAGAAGTCCCCATGTCGGCCAATGGCAACTACATTCATCTGTTACTCAAGCCAAAACCCTTTTTTTAAAAAAAAAAAATTTAATGTTTGTTTATTTTTGAGAGAGAGAGACACAGAGAGATGAGCGGGGGAGGGGCAGAGAGAGGGAGACACAGACTCCAAAGCAGGCTCCAGGCTGTGAGCTGTCAGCACAGAGCCTGACATGGGGCTCGAACTCACAACCTGCAAGATCGTGACCTGAGCTGAAGTCGGACGCTTTACCGACTCAGCCATCCAGGCTCCCCCAAGCCAAACCCTTTTAGCCATCCCTGATGCTTCACTTGTTCCCGCATCATACATCTACTTTATCAGTAAAACCTGATGGCTCTGCCTGCCTCTCCACCGCCCAGGCCACCATCATCTGTCACCAAGATTACTGCAGGAAGTCCTAAGTGTCCTCCCTGCTGCAACCCTTGCCCTGCTCTCAGTACAGCAGCCGTGTTTTCATATGTCAATCAGGTCCTGCCACTCCTCTGCTCCAGTGTTTGCAATCTGTCCCAGTTTCACTCAGTGTAAAATACAAAGTCCTTCTAAGATCTACTTCCTTACTTCTGTTTTCAATGTAACACTAGCCTTTTTGATCTTCTTCGAACCTATCAGGCATGTGAGAAAGGGCTTTAGACTCCGTTTGAAATCTCGCTCTGTTAGTAGTATGTCTCCAAACTTTAGCTTCCCGTCTGCAAAATGGGAACCCTGCACCGTCTGCCTCACAGGATTGAGGTGTACATGTTTTTTGTTTGTTCGTTTGTTTTTGTTTTTTTACTCCAGGGCCTTCTATAAACACAGGGGCTTCTATCATTTTCAAATACAACCTCTAAAACTTAGCTTGCTTTGCTTGAGAATTTCTTGTTATTTCTAGACCACCGCTTATATAGGATCAAGTCAGACAACATCTAGTATGTGGTTTCTTTTTCGCCAGGCACTCTGGGGATATGAGAGTAGCCAAGTCATGCTCTCTTAAAGAATTCACATGCTAGAAGTGGTACAGAGAGCTGCTAAAAACAAAAAGTGTATAAAGGACTGCAGGTGTTCTGATAAAACAAAGCATAGGTAAAGTGCAGTGGGGGAGCAGAAGAAGAAGATTCACATTTCTGGGGAAGGGTGGGGGAGCACCCCTTGACTACTCCCATCTCATGCTTTTAAAGCACACTCAGTATTTTCATTCATTCTTTTTAAGGATGACTATTTATTCATTGTTGCTCTTCCCCATTAAATTTAACTTTACCCAAAAAGGCTCCACGTCTTTTGTATTCATTTCTGTACCCTAGAGTTTGGCATTGTTCTTGGCCCAAGAGAAGGGAGGAAGGGAGGAAGGGGAGAAGGGAGGGAAAAGGGGAGGGAGGGAGGAGAAAGGGATACATCATTGTGGTTAAGAGCACAGGTTTTGGAGTCAGATGGTCTGGAGTCCCAGATCTGCAGCCTACCAGCTGCATGACCTTGAACAAATTACTTATCCTCTCTGTGCCTGAGTTCCCTTATTTGTAAGATGAAGATAATAATAGTGGCTTCCTTATGAGATTATTGAGGATTTACTGAGACAGTTCTTGGAAAGGGTTTAGCACATTTGCTGGCCCATGTCTTGAATGCTAACCCTATTCTCCAAGGTTCTCACCCCCTTAGGCCAAATTCCAAGGATTCTCTTGGAACTAAATTAAGGTCTTTCTGTCTATCCAATAGTTAAGACTTTCAAGCATCAAACAACTTAGGTTTCGTTTTGTTTTGTTTTGCAGCTAAGGTTTTACACACACACACACACACACACACACACACACACACACACACAGTTTTAATGGCTTCTTTGATTTTCTTTAAAAAAAAAATGGACTTCTCTGGTTGAGTGCCTGAATTGCCTTACTATTTGAAACAATTCCTGCTGCAAACTTCTTTATGTCAGTTACTCATTTCACAGGGTGCTTGTATTTCAGGGTTGTCCTTGGCTATCTTTCTGACCCAAGCGAAAACATTCAGGATCCAGTGAGTGACAAATTCTTCAAGGAGGTATGGGTTGCAACGGCAGCTCGAAATGCTACAATTTATGATAAGGTGAGGTTTGCATGTCACCGCCACCTTTTTTAATTGAATCACGTCACAAAAGCACGTCATTATTTCTGCATATTATTGGGACAGAGTATTCTTAATGAGTGTAAAAAACTGGTACATTTCCAAGTTGTAATAAAATACCTCTTTGTAGACATTGAAAAACAAAGCCAAAAAGTATCATGGATTATGGTTTCAAAGAGACATTAGTGACATTCTGATCTCTGATCTGATGCTGGGATCCCATCATGAGCATCCTTAGCAGGTGGTTATCCAGCCTTTGGACATGTCTAGCGACAAAGAGAAAAGAAGCAGATGGGATCCTAAAATGAGTCAGACTGGGGTACAACTCAGCTCGCCCATTTGCTGGTGATACAATTTTGTGTGTAGTGATTTGACTTTCTGAGCCCTCCTTTCTTCTATAAACTGAGAGGGATAGGGCGGTTATGAAAATAAAGAATAGTCTTTTAAATGCAGTTAGCACATAGTGCATAGTAAATGGCATCCATCCTTATGATGAAACTTATTAATAATGAAACACTTCCTCTGTTGGACAGCTCTCATTTTGGAAGGGCGTTTTAAAACCAGCTCCATATGTTAGGGAAGCCAAATGTATCTTTTGGTAAGTTTTGTCCGTGGTTATGATAAAAAAAATGTAGAAGAGTCAAGAGGTGTCCAACAGTGGAACAGGTTACTTCATGAAGTAGCCAGTTTTCTGTCACAGAAAATATTCAAGCTGAGATCCACTGACCATCTTTCAGAAATTGCATAAGAATGTGTTTTTCTTCTTCATGACTGCCAGAGTCCCTTCCAGGATGGAGAATTCATCATTCCTAATGAAACATGACAATCTACATAGCCTTATTTCATACTGAGGACTCAAGGCCATGATCAAATAGGTCATGTGCATGGAATATTTTAAAATGTAATTTTAGGGGTGCCTGGGTGGCTCAGTCGGTTAAGCGTCCGACTTTGGCTCAGGTCATGATCTCACAGTTTGTGAGTTCGAGCCCCGCATCAGGCTCTGTGCTGACAGCTCCAAGCCTGGAGCCTGCTTCAGATTCCGTGTCTCCCTCTCTCTCTCTGGCCCTTCCTCTCTCGAGCTCGCTCGCTCTCTCTCTCAAAAATAAACATTACAAAAAAATTTTTTAATGTAATTTTAAAAATGCAGTGCACAGCCTTGTTTGGATCCTTGGGGGGAGGGTGGGATAGCAGCTATAGAAAGCATTTAGGGAATAATAATAGGGAAAATCTGAATATGGACTATATCTTAAATGACTTGGAATTGATTTTCTGAGGCGTGAGAATGGCATTGTGGTTATATTAGGTGCATCCTTATCCTTAATACATGCTGAAGTGTTCAGGAGGGAAGTATGCTGATATATGAAGCTCATTTTCAATTAGCAAAATAAGTGTGCAATTGATAACTTTCATACAGGTACAGATATGAACATTTTTGAAAATAAAAAGCTAAGAGAAAATATAATATGCAATTTTCCTCTTAGAGCAGAACCTCCAGTGAAATTGGGGGAATTATTATCCATATTATCCAAAAACTTAACCTTAGTGTGGAATAACATCAGTGGAATTCCTGTACCACTAGCTTGACTTTATCCTGAAGTCAATGACTTGTGTAGATCATATAGAAGGATCTATCTATGACCTTTTTTTTTGGATGGAAACAAATCTAGTAGTTTCTTTGGAGCAAATAAGAGAAGCAATTCTTCAGTGAGGTCTGTGCTGTAGCATAAAACTAATACGTGTTTCATAAAGCAAAGATTTTGTCTGTTGGAATTAGTATTTTTCCATAAGGGGATATCTTTCCTTTTAGACTTATGACCTAGTTTCTCCCCATTTGTGTTTTAATCAGGTGTTCCGGTGCCTTCCCAATGATGAAGTACACAATTTAATTCAATTGAGAGACTTTATTAGCAAGCCCATATTAGCAAAGGAGGATCCCATTAGAGCCGAGGAAGAACTGAAAAAGATCCGTGGGTTCTTGGTGCAATTCCCCTTTTATTTCTTGTCTGAAGAAAGCCTACTGCCTTCCGTTGGAACCAAAGAAGCCATAGTGCCCACAGAGGTTTGGACTTAAGGGTTCTATTCATTTGCAGCTCAAGGACTCCCACCTTGAAAGGTACACTGCACACACAGTGACTTTCTGGAGACCCTCACAGCCAAAGCCAGCCCTGATGCACTATTGTATCCAACCCACAGACCCTTTGGATTGGCTGGGCAGGGCTGTGGTCCTACTGATAGAAGGATGCTGAACATCAGGTGGGCTTTATAATTCCTCATGCTTATCCTTGTAAAAAGGGACTGCATTCTTAATGGTAGCATATGCTCAACAACTTAAACACATACTCAAATTCCATGATGTACATCAAAATGCATTTCCTTTACTAACAAGAATTTACCTGTACCTGTGATCCAGGTGGCCAAAAATTGTCTAAACCTTTTTGTTCTCCTCTGACCTTCATTTATGCAGCTGGTGACTGCTGGACCTGCCCTCATTTCATAGTGCATACAGACACCGTTTGAGACATCGTTTAATAATAGAAGATGTTGTGAGGCTGCTTCCAGGTTCTTCAAGGTTACTTGAGATACCCCTGCCCATCTGATCCTGAAGTCATAGTGTTTACTCACCCAAGACGTGGGCCTTATTCCTTTTCAGTGACTGAAGGCACAGGGCAGATGCTATGTACATAGCAGCCCATGTTAGGCACTTCTGATAACATTGACACTATAGATCTTAACAACACAGAGGAATAGGAAGGAATTAAATTTGGTTATTGAGGCAGAGATTTCACTTTGCCTCCAAAGGCAGTGACAAGATATGTTCTTTTGATAGGGCCCACCTGATCAAATTTGAAAACATATGTAGGATATTTCATTACACAGCAACTGATAAAACTCAGAGCATGCAGCCTTCAGAAACCTCCAAGGTGTCAGCAGGGATCTGATTCAGACAAGAAGAGGAGATTTCTTATAGTCCTGGAAAATGTCCTATCATCCTTAGCTGCTGGACTGATTGAAATTTGAGTTTCTGCATTTGAAAATCAGACCAGTGAATGCATTTTGTCTTTCAAGAGAATCAGAGGCTTCGTAACTCCTACCACATTAATAAGTTAGGAGCCTAACCTTAGTTGATATTCAGCTCTCTAGCTATGTTATCTTCTTTAAGAAAAATTAATTGATTGCAAAAGATGTGCTACTTAACTTGCATTATTCAATATACATTAACATTCCACCAGGCTTCTAAAGAGGTTAGGATCTTTATTAATTCACATCGTCCTGGTCTATGAATTGTTCTGGAAACCCGTTTTTCCTTTTTGAATTCTAGCATACCCTTTGGTACACCATAGCTCTAATTTTACAAAGCAGAACTATTCTTCAAGCCTAAAGAGATGATGTAGGTTCCCAAAAGGCCTGTGCTCATAAAACATGGTGTGGGGGCATTGATCACACACGTATGGATTACCTGGGCAGAACCTCATTTGAGCCATTCTTCAAAGAGGCAAGGACCCAATCCATTTTTGTGGAGCTAATAGGCCAATGGAAAAGGTTAAACAGGAGCACAAAGTCAATAATCTGGGTGGGTAGGAGAGAGTGTCACACTCACAAAAGGATTTCACAGCCAGAGAACATTTCAGACCAATGAGGTAGAACTGTGCTTTATGAATAAATAGTTTCTCAGATAGCTGAAGATGGTGAAAAATGACTTCATTCTATAGCAGCTGTACATAAGACATTTGCTATTTATGAAGTTTAGATTGGCATTGAAAGTGCTGAGTGTATATGGAATACCTAAGGATGTCTTATAGTTTACTTTTAAATATTTTGTAAACTGTAGAACAGTCAACATGCTGGCTTTTGATTTTGTGCAAGATGCTCCTTTAACACCGTGAAAAATAAAAGCCTAAAAGCACCCCTTCTCTTTTAAAAAAAATCACATAAGCCAACCTCTCCCCATTTTATAGATGAGGAAACTGAGGCCCAGATTGTTTGAAGGACTCACTTGAGTTTCACTCAACTGAGAGATGGTGGAGGCAGGACTAATGAAATTGCTGTGGTTCATTACTGGCCTCTCCCTTGACTTCAACATTGTCCAAATGCAAGGAGATGCAGTAAACAGATTTCAGGCAGGACATGTCGTGTGATGTACTCATGTGCTCATCTGTCTCCCCCTGCTTGAATGTAAGCTCCACGGGGCAGGGACTTTGCTGTGTTTTGTTCCTAGTGTATCTGCAGAGCTGAAACAGTACCTGGCACATAGGAGGGGCTTAGTAACTCTTTGTTAGGTGAATCAACGAAGTCGAGGGGACAGCTAATGAAATGACAGATTTATGGAGTCTCAGACAAGAAATCTTACTGTTGGTTTCAGTGGCAAGTTTTCTTTCCCCTGCATCTCCTCAAAGACAAGATGTTTATCTGCAAAGATGGGAGGCTACCGGCTTTACTTGGTGGATTTATGGAACATTCCACGCAATAGTTGCCTATTTGCAATAGCAGCTTACATAGCGCAGCATTCTGCAGAAGTCACATGGGACGTGGACACGAGGTGTACTGCACGGCCTAATTACCCATCATCCCGACACCGCTACTACCTAATAGAAGTTCAAATACTTTAACATTGCAATACCTGATATCAACTTTAAAATGCAAAGGATTCAAAGCCTTGCAAAGGCTCAACATTTTATGAATCTGCTCAACATTTTAAATTGACTGTAATCCTCTGAAGCACCTATAAATGCTGTACCCAATACTCTGATCATCTCTGTAATAATTTTGTTTTCAAGAAGGAAAAAAATCCTCTGATCATACGAAACGAATGGTAGAAAGTAGGGTAGCTAGCAAAGCTATTCAGGTTATCCAAGGTTAGTTGTTGGAGGATACTCAACATAGCAGGTCTGATGCAGGCATTTGCTCTGTATTCAGTGTCCACTCGGTGATTTACCCTTCCTTGGAATGTTCTTAACTCTCAGCTCTGATGCATCATGCAGAGGCTTGGAGAGGTGGCCATTAGATAATCGAGGGGGCACATTGTAATACAAAATAATGGTTTTATTTTACTAACACCTTTGGGAAAAAATTTCATCTGTAGGTAGTCAAAAACATGAAGAGTTAATCTCTTATGTAAAAACTTGAGCAATTGTAATATATCATGAACGAACAGTCTCCCAGAGGAAAACGGCAAGCTGAGAAGCCTTTCTGCAGATTAAGACCATCTGCGAATAAATTTGTGTAGACTTGAAGAACCTACACTTCTTTCTGCGTCTCCTGACTCCTTCTTCCTTCAGCCTCTGGCCCCATGCAGAGCACCTCCTTATTATGTAAAACGTTTTAGAGGACAAGGAAGGAGTTTCCGGAAAAAAAAAAAAATTAGGCCTCCACGACGAATCTGCATTTTAACTTCTACTTTTAAGTGACTGACAAAATATTATTATTTTTTTTAACAGAGGTAATCGTTCTTTTTAACATCCCCAATCTGATGTGGCACTTGAGCCTTTTCTGATGTCTGTCACCCTCTATAGCAGGGTAAAGAGGATCCTTCACATCTTTTCATCCCTCTCTACTCTCTCTTGTATGAAACGAGCAAATGCTAAAGGACTTTAAGTGTGCTTAGGAATATATTTTTTATTTCCTTGCAAGATCCTCTGAGACCAATTACTACTGGCAGCTTGGAAATTTAAAATGGATGAGCGTTGAGAAATTCTTGAATCTAGAAATTCACTGGAAAAGGAATTCATCAACATCTCTCAAAAAGTTGCAGGTGAAAAGTCAGGGAATTTACATTATTTTTAGGGGGGTGGGCAGGTACCATAAAATGATTCCTAATGGCATTCAATTCACACGTGAGATAGTACAGACTCTGACTTGAGATTGGAAGCATTCATGAAAGGAGCCAAACATTTTATCGCTTAATTTCTTACAGGTTATTTTTTTTCCCTAATACTATTTTTAATTTTTAACTTAAAAAAAGTCATCAAACACAAGATAAATGAAAATTTGTCATGCTGATCATTTGGAAGGTGTAAAGTCAGAGACTAGAATGGCAATTCAACCAAAATCCAGGCTTAGTTACTCTTTCCTATCCCCAACCAACTATAATTGCTCGCTTTATTCTAGATAAATGCACATAAGTGAATGTCACCCTAATTCTGCTCCCCACTAGGGAATAGAACATCATGCCCTCCTAATGTATATCTACTCGGATCCTTCACACAAAATAGTCTGGGCCAAAGGTACAGATCTTCTCGTAAACTGTTCTAAAACCTCATAACGAAGTGTTGCAGTTGGAGCACATGTTACTGACACAGAAAACATACTTGGCAATGGACATCCATTCAGAACATTTAGATATTCTGGACAGAACTCAGGCTCCGAGCCTCACCTCTACTGCAGCACTTGGCAAACCAAGCGGGGCCTCCTGTTTTTGTAAGTAAAGCTCTATTTGAACACAGCCATGTCCATTCATTTACATGCATTCATGACCAAATGATCCACAATCTTAAAATATTCACCATCTTTAAGAAGAGCCTGCTGATCCTTCCTCCAGAGAGAGCAGAGAATGTCCAGACAGAGTACCTCAACCAAGCAGATTTGGATGAGTTTTAACCTCTTCCATAAGAAGGTTTTCAAGTCTCCCTATCCCAGAGCCCAACATATGACAATGGATTTATTCTAAGAACAAGGTCAAGTCCTTCCAGGAATAAAATCACATGGTTTTTGGTTCTGGAAAGAGATGTTGTCAGCTAAAGCAGGCCTCTCCCAGCTGAGGACTTATAGTCATACATGGGTGACAATGTTTGTAACTCAAGTGTTCAAAAAAAAAGACGATGGATAGGCTGAAGGATTTGTATTGAATGAGAACCATGAACTCAGGAGACTCAATTTCCCCTGAATTTTCCATCTGTGAAGCATTGGAAATGATATGTGTATCCATTCCCTGCCTCACAATCAATGCTCTCTACACCTGGTCCCTTAACTGCTTTTTTAAAAATGTAAATACTCATTAATTAAATAATTAAAAGTGTGAAATCAGCAGTGTCCCTTCATTTGCAAACCAGATTCCTCATTCTGCACAGAGGTTTT